GCACCAGCTACCAAGAAGGGGAAAAATGACTGCTACTGCTGAACCCAGGACATTATCCACCCCTTATTCCATACCATTCACGTCATGCTCAGATCCCACATTTTCAATATACTCTTATCTTAGTGCATGGACCAGTCCCTATAAAGCTGCTGAGTCCATCTGGTCCATGACGTCAGGCTCCATCTCTTGTAACAGTCTTCCAGAGCAGGAGAGACTGTGTGCAGTATTCACACTCGTGAATAACCTGGGCAATAGTGTCCATTGCTAAGTCCACCCCTCGATCATGAGTCCATCTCTGTGTTGCATCTCTGCTCTGATGGCCTGAAGTGCCATGGGCTCACCAGGCTTAAAAATAATTCACTGTCCCCTTCAGCAGTTTCTGCAGCTTGTTGCTGGGGACTCCATACAGCTGCCTTCCATCTCCAATGCTTCCAAAGCACTGGAGGGGCCCAGTGGACTAGATACTTGCCCATACTGTCCCACACACCCTGCCACTCCTGGCTGTCCAGCCTTGGGGAAAACCTCTTGGTCCCCCCATATCCTCGTCTAACCCCAGACAAGACCCAAACCTGACTCTGCTTAACTTTTGAGATCAGACAAAATGGTCGTGGGTAGAACACAGCCTGTGTGTGTGCCAACATGCTGATCCCCATCACAATCAGCAGGCAGGTACCAAGGACACCCAAAGGCCATTCAAAACCTTCAGAACTCTCAACTGATGCTGCTGTACTTGTCACTGGGGCTGGTGTAGCTGCTGTACTTGTCACTGGGGCTGGTGTAGCCGCTGTGCTTGCCGGCTCTCCCACCGCCAGCTTCTCTTGTCCTGAGTCCAGCTCTTCCTCCTCTGCCTTGCTGGGAAATGCTGCGTGGTCTCCTGCATCCTCCTGGGGCTCGGCGGGCGGCTTCCGGGAAATGCTCTCGGCCGTCGCGGGGCTGGGCTCGGCCGCGGGGCTCGGCTCCTCCGCGGGGCTCGGCTCGGCCGCGGGGCTCGGCTCGGCCGCCGCCTTCTCCCGCTGCTCTGCAGCCCCTTCCTTCTGCTCCTCGACCGCCCCGACCTCCTCCACCGGCAGCCGTCCCATCGCGGCCTCCGGCCCCGCTCCCGCCGCCGCTTGGTCCCCGGGGCCGCTCTTCCGGGCCGCTTCGGCTGCCGCCGGCTCCCGGGGCCGCTCCCCCTCGGCTCCCCGCAGCCTCACGAAGATGGAGAGCAGGGCGAGGGCCAGGACGGTGAAGAGCAGCCGGACGGCCAGGTACAAGTCCACGGCCACGTCCGTCCCGCCCTGCTGCTGGAGCCCGTCCGTATTACAAGCCATTGCCATAAAGCACAGTGAGACAAGAACCTTAGCCCAGGCCCCATACTTGATAAACACTATCACAGCAAATACCGGCTCTACGTAAGTTACAACATTCTGAAGCTGTGAGATCAACAAGAACAACTCTGAGACCCAATAAATCAGCATTGTGACGAGTGACTATTAATCCGGTCAGATCTGTCGTTATCTCAACCCTTCGAGCCCCACGTTGGGCGCCAAAAAGAACTGTCGTGGTTTAAACCCAGTCAGGTAATTCGTTCGCTCACTTCCCCCCCCTTTTCTTGCCCTCCCCCTGCTCTCGGAGGGATGGAGAGGAGAATCGAAAAGAATGCAACTCCCACGGGTTGAGATAAGAACAGTTTAGTAACTAAGGTATAACACAAATCACTACTGCTACCACCAATTATAATAATGATAAAGGGAATAACAAGGGAAGAGAATACATCATCTCACCACCAGCCGACCGATAACTCGCCCCCCCCCAGCCCGACCAAGCTCTGACCGATACCTCCTCCAACCCTGCAGTCTCCCAGCCCTTCCGGCTAACTCCCCGTTACATCCTGGGCATGACGTGCTGTGGTATGGAATACCTCTTTGGTCAGTTTGGGTCAGGTGTCCTGTCTCTGCTTCCTCCCGGCTTCCCCTCCTCCCTGGCAGAGCATGAGGCCCACAAAGTCCTTGGCCAAACCAAAACACCACTTGTTATCAGCTCTGTTCCCGAGCTGAAAGTCAAAACACTGCACTGCACCAGCTACCAAGAAGGGGAAAAATGACTGCTACTGCTGAACCCAGGACAGTACTCTAATGAGGACAGGAGTTCCTGTATTATCACTGCATTTAACTTTATGGATTCCAGAACAATCACAAATCTAGTGAATGCTTTTAACTGCAAGAACACTGAGAACTGGGATAGCAATTTCATCTTTGATCCTTGAAGCCTGCCCAGTTTAAGTGCTTTTAAGTTGTGCAGTGACTTGCTTTTACTGTTTTGTATAAGGACTGCATAAATAGCATCTGTTTCTTCCCTTCCTGAATGATAGTTGCTTTTAGAGGAGCTCTCTGTTCAGTTTCTTCACTGCTTGCTGTTTGTACTAGATCTTAAACAAAAAGTAGTTTTTAGCACGTACAACTCCTTTCCTTTGTCCCTTACTCAAATATACGTAGTAATTTGAAGTAGTGCTTCAGTATGAGAAACTTTATTACTTACTTGATGGTAACTTCAATGAAATGGAAATAATTCAGTTCTTGTAACTTACATGCTTTTGTCATTTCTAACCAGGAGATTGTAGAAACATTTGAAATAACAGAACCGATGATTAGCCCTCCTTATCATAGCAATGAAGATGAAATGGAGACAGATTAATTCTTCAGGTAAGTTATTTTAATAAATCAAATTAAATAAGGATACTTATTTTTTTTAGTAAATCAAACTAAATAAAAAAGGATACAGTGAATGAGTTCCTTATGCATGTTGCAGAACCGCAGGGAAACTACCTGTGACTTATAAATGTAGAAAAACTATGAGCAGGGCAACTTCGTAACATCTGAACATTGTTGATGTCTTAATGGAACAAAGTAATCTGATCTTCTATGCAGTAGTTAAATGAAAAAAACACTTTATTTAGAGAAGAGATTCAGAGCAGCCCTGCGGGGAAGGACTTGGGGGTGTTGGTCAATGAGAAAATGAACATGAGCCAGCTTCAGTGTGGGCTGACAGCCCAGAAAGCAACCGTATCCTGGGCCGCATCAAAAGGAGCGTGACCAGCAGGTCGAAGGAGGTGATCCTGCCCCTCTACTGTGCTCTCGGGAGACCTCACCTGGAGCATTGTGTGCAGTTCTGGTGTCCTCAACATAAAAAGGACATGGAGCTGTTGGAACAAGCCCAGAGGAGGCCATGAGGATGATCAGGGGACTGGAGCACCTCCTGTATGAAGACAGGCTGAGGAAGTTGGGGCTGTTCAGCCTGGAGAAGAGAAGGCTGCGTGGAGACCTCAGAGCAGCCTTCCAGTATCTGAGGGGGGCCTACAAGAATGTTGGGGAGGGACTCTTCATTAGGGACTGTAGTGACAGGACAAGGGGTGATGGGTTCAAACTTAAGCAGGGGAAGTTTAGATTGGATATAAGGAGGAAGTTCTTTACTGTGAGGGTGGTGAGGCACTGGAATGGGTTGCCCAGGGAAGTTGTAAATGCTCCATCCCTGGCAGCATTCAAGGCCAGGTTGGACAGAGCCTTGGTTTAGGGTGAGGTGTCTCTGTCAATGGCAGGGGCTTGGAACTGGATGATCTTAAGGTCCTTTCGAACCCTAACTATTCTATGGTTCTATTTTTACATGTGTCAGTATTATTTTTTGTAGCTATTTTTGAGTTATTTTTTTGTAGCTTTATACTCGGAATGCAGTGCTGTGAAGAATCATAGCTTAGTTTTTGTATCTTTTCTTTTAACCTGTTGACAGGTGATGTTGTTAATAGATTAGTGTGAGGGACTTGTGGGGAAAAAAAGAAGGGAACACCATCAGGTTCCCTCTAAAATCCATTCAGCCATAGCATTGAATTTTTTTTATTGTCACAGTTGTTTGCTAAGTTCCAAATCTTAATGCATGTTGTCTTAACTGGCTTTTCTCTTTTTTTTTTTTTTTTCCTTTCTTTCCCCCTAGGTGCCTTACAGAAAATATTTTAAAACGTTTCATTCAGAAAGTGTTTTATATGTATATATGTTGTAAAATTATTTCTATTAGAACATCTTGACACTTCCTATGCGCTGGTTTGTTTCTACCTGTCACGGGGTTATTACCATATACTCTCTGTTTATTATGGCTTAGTTTGCTACTTTACATAAAGTTTACAGATGCTTCTAAGTAAAAATGAAATGCTATCCCCCTTCATACATCCCTCGCCTCTCCCCAGTACCGTCCTGCAGGTGGAATTTACATGGTTAACCATCTCTGCTGCGATAATCCTGTTATCTAGGTGAGGTTGGGTGCTGCAGGAGAAACTGATGATGTCTTTCTGATCTTAGTCCTCTGAAAACCAAGGTTTGAGTTTGCAAGTCTGATCTCAGTGGCACATAAAATGTCTTCCTTCCTTGGACTTAGTTAAAAAGACATCAGGTGTATCTGGTTTTGTAACTAAGGCAGGACAGCTGTATGTGGCCATTATATTATTTTTTTAATACAAAATAAATAAAGTTTAGCTCCATCTCCAGAAAATCCTCTTTGGAGGAGCACTGTCTGGAGTTTTTAGGACTTTTTCCTTTATCATCAGGCAGGGTTCTGATCAAGTAGCTGGGGTAGGAGGTCCTGCCGATGCTGTCAGAGCGTGTTTCTGGGGGTGCTAACGTGGGCAGGCCCAGAGGGTGTGTGAAAGCACAGTTCCATCATCTCTGCTCGTTTACACCAGAACGCGGAGCTCTTTTAGAGCAGCTCCAGCAAACGGGGCCAGGCCTCCTCCGAGGGCCGCCTCCACCTCGCTTCGCCCCGGCGGGGCGCTGCGGGCAGGGCCGCCGTACGCCATGCCTGTCGCCGTGGTGGAGTACAAGGGCTGGAAGGAGGGCTACCGCTGCGGTTACTGCGCGTCGGAGCAGGGGAAGGTCTCCGCCGGTAAGCAGGAGGAGGCGGGATGGGATGGGACGGGGCTGAGACACCGGTCTCCTGTGGAGGGGCAGCGCCGCCGCCCTCACTAAAGATGGCGGGTCCGCCATTTCCTGTGGGCGCTCCCCGTGCGCTGCCCGTAGCAAAGATGGCGGCGGCGGCTGTTTCCGGGCGGCCGGGGGTGCGGTGTATGGCGGCGGGCAGGGCGCTGTTCTGAGCCGGGCGGCGGGGCACGGCCAGGGGCTCACCGCGGAGATGGCGGCTGCCGGCGGCTCTCCGAGCATCGTCGAGTACTTCGGCGGAGAGGATGGCTACCGCTGCGGCTACTGCAAGAACGAGACCGGCAACCTCTCCCACGGTGCGGCCCGCGGGCAGGGCGGGCTGTGAGGGCCGGGACGCTACCGGAGGTAGCTGGAGGCCACGGAGCTGCTCCAGCCTGGGGCTGAGGGACGCCTGTGAGCGGCGGCCTGTGAGCCTCCGTCCTGCCGGGAGCGAGCACTGTCCTTCCCCCGACGGCGCCCGCCGCCCCCTGCTCCGGGCGTGGGGGCTCCGAGGTGGCCGGGGTACCCGGGGCAGCCCGCAGAGCCAGGCCGGGCCGGTGTGGGGCCGCGGAGGCCATGGGCTCGCCGGGAAACCTCGCCTCATGGTCGGGATCGATCAGAGTGCTTCTCCAGGCTAGGGTGAACCACGAGAAATAACGGGAAAGCTGTGCAGAGCGTGAACTGTTTAATTGCTGCGATCATAATACGTGCACCCTAAGTAAGGATGTGGTTAGGGTCTCTCCCTCTCTCGGTGCAGTTTTACTCCTGAGGCGCAGCTGTCCTTTCTGACCCTTCACTGACGGCAGAGGCTCCATCTCCACGGGGTTAACCCAGGGCGCAGTGTGTTGGCCTGGCCAGGCTCGATGGCTCTGGATCTGTGGCTGGACAGGTATAGCTCAGGACAGCTCGATGGGAAGTGGTGATGTGCTTTCCTGGGTGAAGAGGTGACACATTCCCTGAGCTCTGCTCCACCAGGCAGCTGCTGTCCAAGGGGGTCCCTGGGAATGGTGTGCGTCAGCTTCAGCGCTGCTCGGAGGAGTTCTGGCTCGGTGTTTCCAACGGATCAGAACAAGATTAAGGAGCAATTCTGTGTTATTTTGTTGGTGTATCTCTGGCAAAGATAGCAGGCAGAGAGGTAAACTTTTACTATGTGCAGTCAGAGCAGTGTAGAATCAGAATAGTCTGGGCTAGAAGCGACCTTCAAAGCTCATCTGGTCCAGCCCCCCCCGCAATGAGCAGGGACATCTTCAGCTAGACCAGGTTGCCCAGCTGGCCTTGAATGTCTCCAGGTATGGCACATCCACTGCCTCTCTGTGCCAGTATTTTACCACAGTTTGATTTGCAAGTTGGTTTGCGTCTCAAGGTCTTAGTTTTGGTGTTTTTACACGTTGTGTGTTGAAATCAGTAATTTATGACATACATGAATATGCCCGATCCTTGAAAGTCATTTATTTGTAACTTGCCATGAGCCACTCAGATTTACAGTCGTATTTTTGTATATCTTCTTGTGTTTTAAAGCATAACCATGGTCAGTCAAGTGTGTTGAATGTATTATTTACCGCAGGTATGTGGGCGCATTCAATGACAGTTCAAGATTACCAGGATCTCATAGACAGAGGATGGCGAAGGTAAGTTTAAAACAAAAGACAAAGCCCGGTTGACTGGTTAGATAGAGTTTAGAATCCAGTTTTAAAACTTAGGTCTGTGTCCTGGGTTCAGCAGTAGCAGTCATTTTTCTCCGTCTTAGTAGCTGGTGCAGCGCTGTGGTTTTGACTTTCAGCCTGGGAACAGTGCTGATAACACCGACGTTTTTAGTTACTGTTCACATGTTTAGTCTGGCCAAGGACTTTGTGAGCCTCATGCTCTGCCAGGGAGGAGGGGAAGCCGAGAGGAAGCCGAGACAGGACGCCTGACCCAAACTGACCAAAGAGGTATTCCATACCACAGCACGTCATGCGCAGGATGTAACTGGGAGTTACCCAGAAGGGTTGGTGTACTGCTGGGTCGGGCTGGTGGGTGAGTGAGTTGTATTGTCTTCCCTTGTTCTTTCCTTTATCGTTATTATCATTGGTGGTAGCAGTAGAGGTTTGTGTTATACATTAGTTACTGGACTGCTCTTATCTCAACCCATTGGAGTTATATTCTTTTGATTTTCCTCCCCATCCCTCTGGTAGCAGGGGAAGGGAAGAAGGGGGGGAGTGAGAGGGAGACTGCTTTGGCTGACTGGGCTTAAACGACGACAGTCTGTGAAAACAATTGACTAGTTTCTCTTAGTAATTGCAGTAGAACTGTCTCTGCAGTGCTCTTTGAAGTTTTGTAGCATGGTTGAACAGGAAAATACGTACAGAATCCCAGACTGCTTTGTGTTGCAAGGGCCCTTACAGCTCACCCAGTTCCAACCCCCTGCCACAGACAGGGACACCTTCCACTAGAGCAGGTTGCTCCAAGCCCCTGTGTCCAACCTGGCCTTGAACACTGCCAGGGATGGGGCAGCCACAGCTTCTCTGGGCACCCTGTGCCAACGCCTCAGCACCCTCACAGGGAAGAGCTTCTTCTTAGCACCTAATATTTTAGAAAGATAGTATTTTATTATAGTAGCAGAAAGCTGAAGAACTTGCTTCTTGGTTTCTGTTACTCATCATGTAATATCTTGATATTATTTAAAAAAAAAAAAGGTTGGTCTTACATTTATTTTGTAGTATGAGCAACAACAAATGGATGCATTTTTATTTTTAGAAGTGGAAAATATGTCTACAAACCCATCATGAATCAGACATGTTGCCCTCAATACACGATAAGGTAAGAAGCTCAAAATCTACTACTGTGATTTGACTGCTTCAGATATGTTCAACCGTTTGTGTTTACTGCTTTACATACGTAACAGCACTTGAAGGGTTTATCTACTTGTAATGATACTTTGAAGGTGAAATAAGTGCTGTTGGGTTTGTGCATAGGCCCATCAGTGGCTCTCTGATAGTTCCCTGTAAGCAACCTGCTAAGTGTACACCCTTGCCTTTTGCTTCTGGGTTGCAATCAAAAGAGTCCTGTGATTGCTGTCTTGCTTGCTGGTTTCAGGTGAATTATAATGTCTGTATCCTACAAACACTGTCTTAGTAGTCCAAATGAGAGAGGCTGTCAGTTAAACAGGGTATGAATAATTCTAGATATGCTTTTCCTGTGTAAGTAGTTGGTATCAATGCTGTATCTAAAGATGAATAAGTGAAAGAATCTATTGCATTAGCCTCCTAGGAAAGCTTTTATGCACTGCTTGAGGTCACCTTGGCATAACATGGCATAAAGAATGACATTATGCAGTAGAGGTATTATATGTGTATAGGATATTATGCAGCATAATGTTATTAACTCAAAAGTGGTGATAAAATATTTGACCACTTCATATAATGAAACTTAAGAAATAGAAAATACATCAATAGTGTAATTTTTTTAAGTGGCTCCTTAACCTATATTATTCTTGAAATAATCTTTCCCAAAAGAAATGGTGGTAATCTTTTCCTTTTAAGGTGCCAGGCTTTGCATTTTCAGACCTCCAAATCTCACAAGAAAGTTCTGAAGAAAATGCTGAAGTTCCTTTCCAAAGGGGATGTTCCGAAAGTAGTGAGTGAAGGTAAAGAAATTCTTCATGCTTGAAAATGAATACTGATGGTTGAAAAGAAGATCAGGTACCTGCTTGAATGATCAAATGGCTGATATGCCTTGATCCGAGGGCTGGAGCAGCTCTGCTCTGGAGCCAGGCTGAGGGAGCTGGGCTGGGTCAGCCTGGAGAAGAGAAGACTCCTGAAGGGGAGACCTGAGAGCAGCTCCAGTGCCTGAAGGGGCTGCAGGAAACCTGGAGAGGGGCTTTGGACAAGGGCCTGTAGGGACAGGCCAAGGGGAATGGCTTTAACCTGCCAGAGGGGAGATTGAGATGAGCTCTTAGGCAGAAGCTCTTCCCTGTGAGGGTGCTGAGGCGCTGGCACAGGGTGCCCAGAGAAGCTGTGGCTGCCCCATCCCTGGCAGTGTTCAAGGGCAGGTTGGACACAGGGGCTTGGAGCAAGCTGCTCTAGTGGAAGGTGTCCCTGCCTGTGACAGAGAAAAGGAAGAACAAGCAGGGAAAGGAGGGTTTTTCTTTCAGGTGATTCAACAATCACACCCCATTTATCCAACACCAAAGCCACCTATTTTCAGTTGTGGTGGAACTTGTGTTTGTTTCTGAATCATTATAGTTTGCCTCTTGTGTGTATGTGGGGCTTTTTTTGTTCTTTTTTCTTTTAGTCGTTGTTTGCTTGAAGTTACGGCATGAAATTAGTTGAATGACCCATTTTGGCAGAGAAAACTGTTCTATAGTAATTCAGGGTTGTAAAGGAAGTTTTCTGTGTTTTGACTATACAGTTGTAAAGTTTAGCATTAATGGTGCAAAGTGTGAGCTGTGGTCATGCAGATTGAAATTCACTCATGCAGTTGTTAATTACTTACAGAAGAGCCTATGGATTCTCATATAGAGGATGTGGGCGCCTGTGATTTTGCCTACAAAGGTGAATCACACGTCAGTCAGTCCGAACTGACTCCCCTGGGTGTGGATCACGCTGAGAGGGTGGAGAATGAAGATCAGGACACAGGAGAAAAGAAAGAAGAGGGCAATGTGCAGAAGGTGGAATCAGATTCTCTTCGGCTATATGCAGATAAAGAGACACCAGTCCCTGGAGAACCATCACGTTCGGCTAAAGGTGTTCATGCACCACCTAAGCCAGGTAGTAATTGGAATACACTGTCATGACTTGCATATTGTTGAAGTCCTTTGTTTAGTCTTGCCTAGCACATCAGTAATAATTTCTTTCTATTTCCAATACTCTTCCCAGTTTATGGAATTTTATGGTGTAAATGGACAGGTGCTGCATGGTACTTTTCTTAGTTTTTCCTGAAAGTTGCATTAATTTTCATTATATTTATTTATTGAGAATACATACCTACAGCTGATAGTTTTCTGTGAGGTGATTGAAGCTCATCAGACATTGGGACCAGTTTCCAATTTGGGATACTTTTGTGTGCAGAATAAGATGTACATCCAGCTTTTCCTTTCCACTGTAGGATGTGGTGATTCAGGCTTTATGCACCTTGAGGAATGGTTCATAGAATCATAGAACATCTCAGATTGAAAGAGACTCATGAGGATCATCAAGTCCAGCTCCCTGAGTTGAATTCCATGACTGTGCAAGACTAAGAGCTGGGTACAGCTTTGGCTGCAGGAGTGCTAGTTACTCAGTTAGGTTAAGGCATTAACTTTGCCTCTTGTACAGCAGTGGGAAATCAGTTTAAGACACAAGAAAAACATCTTAGTGTTTTTACATTTCTTCATTTCTGTAGGTTGTCTTCTTCTAGTACAATTTGTATTGTTTACAGCCTAAATACACCCTTGTGAATAACTTCTTTAAGACTATATTTTTTATGCTCTTACAGACTACTTGCCACAGATCTAACTGGCACTGGAAACACATAGGGTATATTGTTGTATTGTTATTTTGTAGGGTTAAAGAAAATTGTATAGCTTTCTGCTGATTAAAACACTCAAAGAAGTAGAGATACTTCTGGTCCTCTATAAAAAAATTACATTTTCTAGGTAAGCAGATTTAACAGATTAAAAAAATCTGTTTAGGAGCTTTTCTTGTTTTATGTATTGCTAACTTTAGATTAGAAAAGCAGTGTTGCTGGAGGATATGAGCAGCCCTGAGAAGAAGGACTTGAGGGTGCTGGCTGATGAGAAGCTTCCCATGACCCAGCTTCAGTGTGTGCTTGAGCCCAGAACCCCCACATGTGCTGGGCTGCACCTCCAGAGTGTGAGCAGCAGGTTGAGGAAGGGGGTTCTCCCCCTCTGCTGTGCTCTGGGGAGACTCCCCCTGCAATCCTGATCCAGCTCTGGGGCAGCAGCACAAGAGGGACCTGGAGTTGTTGGAGCGAGTCCAGAGGAGGCCATTGAGATGCTGCAAGGGCTGGAGCAGCTCTGCTCTGGAGCCAGGCTGAGAGAGCTGGGCTGGGTCAGCCTGGAGAAGAGAAGGCTCCTGAAGCGGAGATCTTGGAGCAGCTCCAGTACCTAAAGGGGCTACAGGAAAGCTGGAGAGGGGCTTTGGACAAGGGCCTGTAGGGACAGGCCAAGGGGAATGGCTTTAACCTGCAAGAAGGGAGATTGAGATGAGGTTTTAGGCAGAAGCTCTTCCCTGGGAGGGTGCTGAGGTGCTGGCACAGGGTGCCCAGAGAAGCTGTGGCTGCCCCATCCCTGGCAGTGTCCAAGGCCAGGCTGGACCCAGGGGCTTGGAGCAAGCTGCTCTAGTGGAAGGTGTCCCTGCCTGTGGCAGGGGGTTGAAACTGAATGAGCTTTAAGCTACCTTCCAACACAAACCATTCTTTGTCATGCATATTTTCAGTACACTCTTATTTTTTAAATAACTAATGAAAAACTCTGATTTACGTACACTTCATTTGGGAAGCAAACGAAGTGGCCATAGACAGCAGATGGCAGCCTTGGGTAAAGAGTCTGTCTGCAAGCCTGCCTTTTGTTTGAAAAAGGTGAGAGATACGGGCTTCAGTTCTGTGACAAATAAAATTAGGTAAAACTTTAAATACTGGAAACATAGATAAAAAAAGCTTGAGTCATTGTGCTCTTTGGGTTTACTTCTATAGAGGAGAAATACCCATAGAATCATAGAATGGTTTGGGTTGGAAAGGACCTTAGGACCATCTAGTTCCACCCCCCCCGCCATGGGCAGGGATGCCTCACACTAGGCCATGTCATTCAAGGCTCTCTGCTTCTTCCTTTCTGGGGGTTTAAAATGAAATATAAAAGTGAATAATAAATGTATCAGAAAGCTTATTTAATTAATCTTCAGTATTTTTTTTAGGGTAGATGGTGTCATAGGTCAAATGTAGTTTAAAATTTTCCAGGTAGAAAGATGTTTAGTTTTCGTCTTGGAAAATGTAGACTTGTTCCATAATCAGATTGTTTAATTGCATTTTTATTCTATTATAAGCAAAACAGGTCATTGTCCTATAGGAATAATGGCCTGTTTCTGCACAGTTTCAGATGGAAAAGAAGGTTTGCTTATGTCTGCATGCACATTCATTGTTTTAAGAAGTTTTTCTTGCTAGCTTTCAGCTTATAGGAGACATGAAACAGATCCTGATACAGATGAAATACTAATTCTTCAACTGTATCATGAGTATTTTAAATAAACTCTTCCTCTGACTTGTTTGCCTGTGGACAGGGCACATAAGATCTGTAATTTCCTCATAGGATTTGTCCTTTTCTGGTGAATAAGTTTAGCTCTATGGATGAAACAAATACTCCAAAACCTTAGCTGAGAAGTAAGAACTCTAGATAATGGGGCTGTCTAAAGAGTGCCAAAGTTGTATTGACTTGTTTTCTAAGTCCATGAGATGCTCTCAGCATTTCAGCTCTCATGGAGAAACCAGACTGGGACTTGTCTGGGTGAGCCATTACGAGCTTGCTACTAGCTTGCCCCAGGAATACACTTAGAAGCTCTGTAAATTCTGTATGGTATGCACATTAAAAAGAATAGTTTATATCCTTACTGATGCTTAAAGATTTATCCCAATACAAAGTATTTTGCCAGTTTCTGTGATGTGTCTATTGCTAAGGAAAGATTCAGGCAGTGGCTCTGAGGGCTGCAGTTCTTTGCAGGTGAAGTAACTCTAACCACATCAGTGAGCTTTCACAATACCAGTGCACTCACTGTTCCCTGTCTGCAGAGAGGTACCAGTGTTCTCATTGTCCATGGGAAGGTTTGAAGTGGATTGAGGATAAGAAAGATGTCAGTTTTAGCTCAGAAGTTACTGGTAAGAAGGAGGAGAAGGAAAGAAAGATCTAGCTATGCTTTCATAGGAGTGCTGGGAAAAAAACAGTTTCTGTGTAATTTCCAGGTGTTCAAGAGTCAAGTAGGATAAGCTGTAGTTAAGTCCTGGTTTGTATTCTTCTTTACTTCTTATAAATACTAGGGAGTTGGAAGTGTGTTTCCTCCTAATGCTTCACATGAAAGCACCTGACTGTCCAGGGTACTTGTCCAAATGACAAGGTAAGTCTTTTGAAAGCTGCCAGTGTCTTTTGCCAGTACATGGCTTTCAGGAGAAAGCTAATGGCTAAAGACTTCTCCAGCACTTTGTCATCATATTTGTTACAGTTTTGGTCTTGTACAAGATGTATGGCACTATTTCCCTGTATGGGCATAAGTTTTTTACACTCACATGAGACTTTTAATATATGGCTCTTTTTTTGGCCTCCAATTCATCTCCTACTGTCCTAAAAAGTAACAAGAAATGCAGAATTAGAGTTACTTTTTATTACACTAGCTGCCTGCTGACGCAGTTTTGTGTGCAGCTTTCCCTCTATACGGAACTTGCAACAGCAGCTCCTAAACTGAGGCAGATATTCCTGGAAAATTGAGTAGTCCTTCCACCGCTGTTTGCAGCAGTACAGCAGATTCATACAGCTCTTACACAGCTTCTGGAGTGAGGTGGGGTGTTGGTTACAACATGGAATAGCAAATCCCTTTGTGCAGTGATGTCCAAGTTTTAGGTAGGAATGAGAATGTTAGGATAGATGTGTCTTGCTTTTTGTAATTTTTTCAAATTTGAATTTATGGATTTACAATCAGTATTGAGTTGAAATTATATTGTTTGGGGAAATTGGTACTTCACAGAATCATAAAATTCAGACTGGTTTGTGTTGGAAGGGAACTTAAAGCTCATCCAGTTCTAGCCCCCTGCCACGGGCAGGAACACCTTCTGCTAGAGCAGTTTGCTCCAAGCTCCATACAACCTGGCCTTGAAAGTACTTGTAAGTAGATTATTTGTTTGGTAATTTCTTTTCAGTGCTTATAATGGGTAGCATAGGACCAGCCATCTTTCATTTATTATTTATTGAAGAAGATTCTGTGTGAATTTTTCTAGTCCTGGCATTCTCCTATCTTGGCTTTTTATCTTATATTTGTATTATAAGTATAAAATTATTCAGCCTCTTTGCTGAGGAATATAAACCACTTGGCTTTCTGTTTGTGCAAGTGTTTGGATTCATTATGCTTTAAAAGCTAAGTTCTTGTCGTGCTATGTACTGTTTTCCATGGTGATCCATTTAGTGTCTTGCTTTGACTTCTGTTCTAAGTAACATTTCACAAATAGAACATTATGGATTGTTAAATACAGAGGTAGATTGATAAAAGTGGATTGATTAGTAAAAGTTGGCAATCTGAATATATTTTTTAAGCAAGGATGGAAGCTTGTATAGCCTTTTAATCTTCTTTTATGCGACATTAGTCGCACTGGCAGGAGGATGGAACTAGATAATTGTAAGGTTCTATCCAACCCAAACCATTTAATGATTCTATGAGAGTTGCACTGGTGTTGGCAGCATTTCTATATGCTGAATAAGGATTCCAGGTAACAAAAAAGAAATGCTTTTTGTGTGTGTGTGTCTTTTACAGGTTGTGGAGCCACCTGGGTTTTGGAGGTAGCTGTGAGGTTTTGTGATTGTGTTTTTTCCCTTCAGTATTTCAGGCTTGTCCTATAGGTATTTGGATGTAGTACACGATCGTACTATGCATTAAATAGGAGCTTTTCTTTGTGTCTGAGAGGGGAATGTGGCAAATTGATTTAAGGACAGACTTAGCAGGAAGTCTTTCATTTTAGTTGTTAAATATATCCTTGGCTCTGGGGTGGAATCGTGGTCGAGGTGTTTCCATGGTAAATTGCTGCATTAAAACAGCTTTAGGAAAGAATCATTGCAGCTGAGCTTGGCACTGAGCATGGTTGCAGTTGTAAATGTGAAATACCACGTTGTGTTCAGACCACAGTGTGCAGTTATTGGTGATTTTAACCGTTTCTTGTCAGTGACTATATAAGAACTACTTGTTTGTTGCAAAACATGATGTTTAATTCTTTGCCTGTGCCCTCTAGGGAAAGGGGCTGACCTGAGCAAGCCCCCGTGCCGAAAGGCAAAGGACATACGTAAAGAAAGAAAACTGCAGAAACTCCTTCAGAACCAGACGTGTACAGTGGAAGGATCTCAGCTTCAAGCAGCAGATCAAGTTTTCCTCTTGCAAAACTCTAAATCTAAAACAAACCAGCCTAAAACCATTGAAGACTTCGTTTTTGTCTCTTTACCTGATGATGCACAACACAAATTAGAGGTAATAGCTTGTTCACTGGTGTTGGAGGTGGAGTAAGGAAAAGTCTAGTTAAGGAGGTTTTAAAACACTTAGGTGTTTAGAATCTGTGACTTTATGGAATGAGACTAGTTTAAGTTTGGAAGTGTATATGGTACTGCATTTTATATATATAAATATGTATATTATATGTATATTGCAGCTGAGCTCTGTGTAACCACAAGAGGGTACTCATGCACTTGCAGTCAGTTGTAACAGAGCCCTGTACAGTTACCAAAATAACTTGCAAATTGCTTTCATACAGTGTGACTTGAAAATGAAAGACTTTGAGTTAACCGAGTGTTGAATGATGAGAGATTCAATATTTAGTTCTGCAGTGTATGAATGCTTAAGCTATCTATGCTAATGAGTCTTGACAAGAAAGCAGTAACTGTTCATAAAATTAAACAGATAGGAAGACAGCTGCTCTTTGTAACTGCCATTGGTATGTGTTGATGTCTTTGGAAGCTGTAAAAGTGATGGTAGAAAACTTTGCTAACTATACTGGTTGCCAGTAAATCTATTAGGAATATAGAGACAGTAAGCTGGAAGACTTGGACTTCCTAACTTTTGTTAATCATAAACCCTTTTTTTTTTCTTTTCCCTGAAAGCTGTAAAACCATCTGAATATAGCTATTTTCCTGTAGTTACTGGTTATCAGTGATGGTATTGGAAAATAACTGACAAGAAGCCATGGAGTTGATCCACCTTGCTAACTCCTTCAGCTTTGCTGATGAGTTGTATAGTAACAGACATATGATGGCTTTATCTGATCATCTGCATTTAGAAGATGCAGGTAGCATTTAAAAGGAGCATGGTTCCAGCAGTGCGATTCTCTTTGCTGCTTACTATGCTGTCAGGTGCGATTTGTTTGTAACCTAGATCAGAACCAAAGCTTTTTGTGAAGGTAGAACCATACTCAAAATTACATGGGTTTTTGAAATGACAGTGTCCTTAAATATGCTTGAAAAGAAAGGCACTGTTCAGGTAAGAGCATTCTTTTGGTTAGGGAGCAATCATTTTTACTAAAGAACAATTTTTAATGTATAGATGCTATAAATATCTTTTTATGTGTATAAAGGTGATGGTGGGGAAGATGATCACTTCCTATTACAATTAACTTATAATTAAATATGGAAACACTGTTTCATCTTCCTCTTTCAGTTTGAAAAATGCCAAGGAATCCCCTTGGGATTATTGCTCTAAAAACAGAGTCTTTAGACTAAGAGCATGGGAGTATTCCAACTACCATGGGTCTTTTGAGTATTTGTCAGTGTAGTGTGAAACTACAAGAAAATCTCTCTACAATGGCAATCTGCATAGTACTTCTTGGTATTATTTCCTGCAAACTATTTGTGTAGTTCTTCTATAGGCATTTTAGTTCTCTTTAATTTGTGCTTCGTAAATGTTGTATGCCACTCAGTGTAAATATTAAAGCCTTCAGTGGCCTAAATGGAGCTGAAAATTCAAAGGCTATTTGTTAATATGAATTAAATTGTGAAGGTCCTTGTGCAAGAGGTCAAAACTTCTCTCTGTTGTGATGTTTGTATATGTATATAGTTATTGTATGACATTGTAATAATTAATGTGTTTAACTTCTTCTGAAGGTGAGGGTGGTGAGATCATCTCCACCAAGTTCACAGTTCAAAGCCACATTTCAGGAGTCTTACCAGGTCTATAAACGTTACCAGATGGTTGTTCACAAGGACCCACCTGATAAACCAACTATAAATCAGGTCAGAAGGCCAAATGCATTTTGGGCAGAGCTCAGCTTCCCCTCTATTTCGTGTGCCTTGTTTCTAGTAGAAACAAATGTGGATTTTATATCCATTGTATATTCAGGAGTGTGTAAAATACTGTGTCAAAGAAAATTGACATCCTGAAAGTGCAAATTCTTTTGATACCTTTTTGTGGGTGCCGCAGATACTTGGTTTTAGTTGCAGACAGAGAAGTTAAGGAAGTTACATGGATGCTGCTGGGTAAGAGGTAGAGAGGATGAGGCTGTTGGAGGTAGGTGTTGTGGGCCTTAAAAATACAAATCACATAAGAACTAAAACCAGCTGGACATTTAGCTTAATAACTGGTCTCACTGGCTTTGGTTTGTAATGCTTCCATAAGGATAATCAGGGCTAACAATTGAGCACACATATAAATTGTTGGTGTAAAGGTCACAGAAGCTGCATAAATTCCCTTAACTTTCAATTTAAGCCCTTCAAAATGTAATCTGTGCACTCCATCTAAATCACACGTTGTTTTCTTATAATGCCCAGGCAGAGCATAATAGTTACCTGTCGGGCACACCACCTTTCTACTATAAGAACAAAAGAAAAAGAGCTAGTCAGGAGTTTGGAGACATATTATATGTGGGAAGAATACGTAATTGTTAAAACAGGGCAATGAGTTATATGCCATTAAAAATAACACATCTTAAAAGTCCTTGAGGCTGTGCAGTGAAAATATAATGTGTGCTTGGGTTGTTAGATACTTAGTAAAAAAAAATAGGTTATGTAAATTGCTTCTTTGGAGTGTTGTACCATTTTTATCCTTGAAGGTATCAACAGTCAGTTTAAGCTTAGTTTTAGTTGTCAGACTTTCCCCTGTAGAAGGTTATGATGTTTAAAGAAAACTGATTTCAGAGGCTTTGAAGTGGCTAGGAGGAGATCTTTCACTAGCCTTACCTTCAGAAGCATGTTACCTGATGATATGCACTCAAACCAGTCTGCTTGTATTTTCCTTGCTCTGAAGGTGAGGTTAGTACCTGTCTCCTTTGAGGACCCCCAGTTCAAATCATCCTTCAACCAGTCAGCCACTTTATTTGCCAAGTATCAGATGGCTGTACACAAGGATACACCTTCTGAGTGTGGTGAGAACGAGGTACAGTTCACTGCATGCACCTTTATGAAAACATGGTTTCGAATGCACAGTTAAATGATGGCAAATGGTGTCTCTTAAAGAGTGATTCTAAATGTTAAGGTATTGGAGTTTCTGTCGGGGCGGGGGGGGGGGGGAAGTGTTGTGGTTTTTAGCAAGGTTCTGTTGCAAGGCTCCAGCCCAGGGGAAGCTGAGCTGAAAAGGGAAGGGTTATGCACTATCATAACTCAAAACCTGATGTTAATGAGTTAAATGGAGCTTGTATATGTATATGGTTGTAAAGAGGTCTGGGACTGAGACTTTCACTGGAAAAGGGTAATATGGAAGTGCTTTTTTTGATAGAGCATCTTCTGCTTTAAAGCTGTTGGGTACCTTTTCCATATTTCTCATTTTTTTTGGTGGTCTTGCTTAATTAAACAGGTGGAGGTTTTAAAAATCTTGAGTTTCATTCACATGTCATTGCTAAGCAAAGCCCACTTCCCAATTAGAACTCACCTTGGCAGTAGAAACACTGCAAAAACATTCCCACCAGCTGCTTGTCTGAGATTCAGTGAGAAGAGATTGCCTATGAATAAAGCCTGTTTTTGAAATGGTGCTTACAGGATGCTAATCCTAATTCAGTAATACTAATAGGAGCACTTGTAGGGTTCTAAAGAAGCAGCAATTCCCTATTTCTCTGGCAGGTGGCACAACATTTTCATCAGTGGAATTAATAAAGTTGCTACCTCAGATCTGTCATTTCTGTTTACCACAGAAGTCCAACTTCAGTATTGCTCAACTATCTACTCAGACTTTAGTGTTCTTGTGAGCAATACCTTGTGAGCAGAAGTGATGCCCAGCAAACTGTGGCTGCTTTCCAGGTAGAATAAGAAAACCCCGTAATCAGTTTTGGCTTTAGTTCAGAAGAGTGTAAGGAGAGCTTTTTTGTGAGCTCTCTGTAATGCTACTGTGGAAAGCCATAACATTTATTTCCCTTTGTTTTGTGAAATAATAGGACTTGTAACTGTAAGAAGTAGTCTGTGCTCTTTTTATAATTGCTGATATAATTTGGATTAATTATAATAATGTAAAAATTGAAAACATGCCAACAAAGATTGAGCTATTTACTAGATTTGTACCAGACTGATTTAGGGACTTGATTTGTCTGCTATGATGGATGTTTTTCAGCTCTAATGCTCAGATACAGCATATACGCCCCCATGCTTTTGCTCTGAGTATCTGGTTGCTGCAGAGTGGCTGATAAGAACTTCATATACTCATTCTTTGTTTAGAATTATGGATTTATTTTTGAATACAGTCATTACATTGTGGTGAATCAAGGGCAGAATCATGATGGCTGCTTGCAGTTCAGTTCTGAACACTAGCTAGCTCCCAGTTTAGCTAAGCTCTGTTTGGGTTAGAGTGTGTGGTTTGGTGTAGACTTGGGTTTAATCACCCACGGAACAGGGAGGAAAACTTACAAAGATGTATTAAGGACAATTGAGGTTTCTGCTGTGTTAAGGTGTGAAGTCTATAGCGCGAATTACTGTTGAATAGGAAGGAGACTGATTTTATTTACTTCTAATAGTTTAATGGATTTTTATCCTCCTCTTTTCCCTTGTTACTTACCGAAGGTAGTTCCCTACTTTCCAGAGAGAAGATAAAGACAGTTTGTGCAGGCTTAGTGTAATATTCCAGGGGAGACACACGACCTTCTCTGAAGCATCTAATAAATGTACAAGCTCAGTCTGATGCTGATAAGTTTTGATTTAGGTCCCTCTTTAGCACTAGCAAATTCTGTTGTGTGTTCATGTGACTGTCTGGTTAAGAAGATCTTTTGGTCACTAAAGCTCTGTCACTTCAATCAAAGCATTTTGTATTTGATCACTGCAGGAAGTAAACTGAAAAATACTTTACACAAAATGTATTTTGAGGTAGTTTAGGAGCCTTTTTTCCTTTTCATACTGTGTGGGAGGAGAATTATCTGAATCGCTTTAAGAACAGAAGGTACCAAAGAGGGTAAAACTGATCCAAGTTATTGAGGTGAAGGGTGGAAAATGCTGTTTGAAAGACCTCAGACTTTTTCTTCTTTCTCTTTTTTAGACTTTACTGTATCATACAGACATTATGGAGCCAAGTAGATTTTTAAGTAAAGATAGAATAAAATCCTGTCCTATACACAGTGCTTTTTATCAGGGGAGTCACAAGTCTGTGTTGGGCCTTAAAGTGGCAAACACCCAGGAATTTGTTCTGCATCTGAAAATCAAATATAGCTTTTAATCGGTGCAAACCAATCTGTGTATCTCCTTTTTGGGGAGAGCCCTGCATGCTTTTGCGTCTGAAAAGTTTCTAGCTTAGGAAAAGTATTCTATATCTGGCTGAACACTTCATGTTCAGAAACCTGTCTACATTTAAATTGAGAATTCACCAAAAATTGTTATGGGCACATATGAACTTCTTTTTGGAATATATTCTTATATTGGACTGTTGGCATTACAATATGCTGTCAACCTATATTAGCTGCTAGACTAGTTTAATATTGTCATTATATTAAGAGGCAATTTTAGGAATAGATTTAGAATATTGGTGATTATATAAAAATAGAACTAATGTGGAAAGTTATAAACCAGTTCACAGCATTAACAAAAGGTGTGTGAACCACGAAGTTTGAGTGTGAAAGCAAACCCTCTTCTGCACCCATGTAATCTATATACATCTTTCATCAAGATTTTTATGGGAGAAAAGGAAATAGATGATTTCCAGGACAGGGAATCCATGGAATATTTGACACTAAAGGTGACTTTGGACTACTGGGTGCTCTCAAGTGCCACTTTGAGATCAGTGACAAGTGGTGTTTCAGTGTCCTTTGACAGTGGCTTTTCCTGAATTTTGGCTCTTCCTCCTTGCTTCTTCCTGCTCTTCTTCTTCTGCATCTCTCATGGATGTTGTGGTAGCACTAATGATAGTGATTGCTCATTAAAAAGAGTTCAGTTTGACATTTTGCTGGGGAGAGTCCTGCAATGGATTTCAGTGATGCAATGCCAGTTCCTGATAAAGGCAGGGATTTCTGTTTGTTCTAATAAAAAGAAAGGTAGCAATTCCACAGTGAAATAAACTTTTTCTAAGTAAGTCCCAAAGTTGCTGCTACCCCTGTGGTGATGAAACTTGTCTTTGCTATGGAAGCGTCATCGCAATGCTGAGTACCATTCTCCTTGGTGAGTTGAGAGTTTGATGAGGTAGAATGATATCTGGTATCTGTCAAATAAGTTTATATTCTGAGTTACTATAATGCTTTTAAACTGATGAGAGAGGATTTACATTCAATATTAGGAAAAAAATCTTTAATATGAGGGTGCTGAGGCGCTGGCACAGGGTGCCCCGAGAAACTGTGGCTGCTCCATCCCTGGCAGTGTTCAAGGCCAGGTTGGATGGGGCTTGGAACAAGCTGCTCTAGTGGAAGGTGTCCCTGCCTGTGGCATGGGGTTGGGACTGGATGGGCTTTAAGTGAACTTCCACCCCAAACCATTCTATTCTTTTGTGATCTAAAAGCTCTCAGCTAGGTTAGTTCTTTAGCTATATTCAGTTATTGAGCTAAAAAAGAAACCCCACAACCTAGTGCCTGTCATACCAAATGGAGTTTTACACATAACATTGTCCTGTAAAAATTTGAAATGAAGCATTTTTTTCTTCCTGCCTCTTTCCTGGTGAACTTAATGGTTGCTCTGGGGGCAGCAATGTGATAACACCTTGCCCATTACTGTGATTTTGAGGCTTTTTACAGTAGTCTTTGTCTTTAAGAAACATGGCTCAAGTGTAACTGAAACAAGTTATGTAGCAGTCACACAAGTTAGAAAACATTTCCATAAAAGATCATAAAAATTCTACAGTAGTTCCAGAAAGAGCAAGAGTTGAACAGTTTATTGCTGTTTAGACCTCGTGAAGCAAACGTTTTATTTCACATTTCATGAGTGTTTTATAATGACAAACTTGAAGGAAAATAGAATGTGTCTCCCTTCCCTCTGCAAAGCTGACTGGACACTCTTTGCTTTGTGCTTAACTAAATATTTGTCTTGGAAGGAAAGAGTTTCACAACACACAAAAGAGACACTGTTTGAGAAGGTGCAAAGAATTACTGAAATAGGTGTAGTGGGGTTTGTTTTTACATTCCCAATGTTTTTTGGATTTGCCTCCCAGAAATCCACTTGAACTACTATAGAGAACTGAGTGAGTAGTGTGGGACATGCCAAGGAGCACATTTGGATCCATTTGAAAGCTGGAAGCAGCAGCCGGTTGCACACTTTTAGGTCTCTCTAAGCTATTTTCCTCTTTGTTTTGTAGCATTCTAGTGAGAGAATGCTTAAGAACTCCTTAGGTTCGAGGTTATTTTTAACCTGCTGTCACTTGCCTTGGCAGCCATATACTTTTATAATGCTCTTGAATTAGTTCTTTTATCATTTTGGGTGATGGCAGCAATAAGCTGACAATTGGCTCTTTGTGGTCGCTGCTGCAGTGAGCTCACGTTGCAGATCCCTGATAACGCTGATTTAAAGTATTCCTTTATCAACCTGATTCCTCCCATTTACTTGCAAGACCCTTGTGAACTGTAGTGCTGCAGGTTCTTGGATTTTAGGCTTGAAATGCCTAAAAACCCAAAGAACTTGCTCATCCAAGCAATTAAGTGGCTTGTTCACAGTCATATCATTTCAATTCAGATTCTTACTGCATCAGTTTGTGTTGTTTCTCCTGGTTTTGACGCTCAGTTTTCTATATAGCCATATGAAATTAAAAAGTCTTTACACTGGAACTAACAAATTCCCATTATTTTGTAGATAATTTTCTTCTGAGCAGACAAAGCCCCAGGGACTTTGGTCACTCCATGAGGGAATTGAAATCGTAGTTCTGAAATGTACGTTCTGTCCCATCACCAGTTATTTCTATTTCCTTAGTCCAATTCTTGTACTGAAAACTACATTTGAGACATCCATTTGAACTTTAAGTTGTCTCTTTCCTTATGTGCTATGTTTTAAAGCCTCTTTCTTCACCTTCAGGTCTGTAGATATCTCTGAAACTGTATTTTGTTAGCATTCCTGTATTGTTGTAAGTCACTGTTGAAAATGCTGAATAGAGCCAGTTCCAGAATAAGTCTTATCTATCTCTAGACCTTAGACAGAAGTTCTTCCCTGTGAGAGTGGTGAGATGCTGGTGCAGGGTGCCCAGAGAAGCTGTGGCTGCCCCATCCCTGGCAGTGTTCAAGGGCAGGTTGGACACAGGGGCTTGGAGCAAGCTGCTCTAGTGGAAGGGGTCCCTGCCCATGGCAGGGGGTTGGAACTGGATGAGCTTTAAGGTCCCTTCAACCCAAACCAGTCTGGGGTTCTATGACAGTTCAAAGCTGTTTTTTTCCTGAGCAGGCTATGATGTGTGACATCAGTAACTCTTGCCTTTAGAAAGTTCCTGAGCTACCAGGTGAAACTGTTCCAGTTTAGCATCCAAAGCACCTGAACGTCTTCCTCCACTTTCAAAAGGCAGGAGGTGTTAACACCCTAGTTTAATTACAGCTTTTTAAAGCTGTGCATGTGCTTTTACTTGAGCAAGTACTTTTGGGTTGAACCAAATCTTCCTTTTATTTTTCCTGCCCCTCCTGCCTTGATTTACTTCTCAGTGATGCATTCATCCCTTAGTTTTATTAATTCTATTTAAGCTTATTTCCTGTTGTTCTGTTAGTTCTTTCTGGCAGTTGCAGTTAGTTTGCACCAAAGTAAAAATGTTTCATATACATTGTACAGTTTTTGAAAGACTAAAGTTTATGTAATTCAGTTGAAAATTAAAATTGGAAAAGCATGGCTTTGTGAAAGGAATTCTGATTGTGCTTGTGTAACAGATTGAGTTATTTTACATGCAGCACCACCTTTTGACTGTGTTTCTCTCATGGTTTATTGAATCCTTTCTGAATTGTGTTCACAATAAGCTTGCAGTATTAAATGAGTTTGTTAATTTAGAAACTGAGTCTTATGTTTACTTCAGTTTAAATACATGTATAGATTCCATAGGTCCCTGGCTTAGGAAGAAAGGGCTATGAGTTTGGTCTAGTGGAAGGTGTCCCTGCCTATGGAAGGGGATTGGAACTGGAGGAGCTTTAAGGTCCCTTCCAGCACAAACCAGTCAGTGAATCTGTGATTCAAAAGGGGGAATAAGTGTTGAGAAGGCAAGGGCAGAGGTCAACTGGTCTAAACTCATTAAATTCTCCAGCTTTATGTCAATTAAATTCTCCCTTAACAGAAAAACCCCAACAACAAACACAGAACAAAAGATTGTTGGGATTTTGGTAATTGTTTCTGAATAGATTTCTAGAGAAGATTGAGTCTTTTGAAGCTTTCTATGACTTAAGGAGATTGTCTAACCTGAGAACGTTAGCAAGTTTCAACAGGTAAAAGCAACAAGACTTGCAATGGTGTTTTTTTCCCCATCAGATTGTCATACAAATTCAAGCGCAGTTAAGTTGTTTTCTAGCCAGCAGTATAGGTAGCTGTAACAGTATATACTCCCCAGCAAGCAGAAGTCATGCTTTAGCTACACTTGGAGTCCCCCTTTGCCCTCAAAGCCAAGGGATTGTTCAGGAGGGCCTGGAGAACTGATAAACTATTTGAACAGTGCCGTTGGCTCCGTTTTCTCACCCAGAGGCTTTAACTCGCACTATAAAGCTAAAGTTACAGATTAAGAACTATTGGGGGTCTTCTGACATGAAAATTAGTAACACATGGTTTATTATTTCTGAAGCCTGCACGTTCTAAACTCGCTCTCTGTAAGGACTGATGCAGCCACAGTGTAGGAATTTGTAACTCTGTTCTTTATTTAATGGAATGGAACAATTCAAATTCTGAATTACTTTTTATTTCTCTTTAAGTGTTGTCTTTATTCCCCCTCTTGTTCTCTCTCTGTCTCCACCACATCAAAACCCCCCTAGACTTGAATTAAGATACAGCATTCAGTTTTCTAAACTGAGTAACTTAGAGGCATGGTGACTAGGTCTGAAGTGGTTCATTATAGGAAATGCACAATCTCCTGCTTTCACCTTTATAGAAATGAAGTTTTCTTTCATAAAGTCTGTGTTCAAAGGTTTACCGTTCATCTATAGCTCAGCTACTGCTACATGTTTGAGGGGGGAGAAATCTGAAGTAGAAGATCTTAAGGTCCTTTCCAACTTTTAACTATTCTGTGATTCTGTAAGTAAGACTTCTACAAAGCCTTGATTATTTTAGCATCAACAGATGCACTTCCTTAGAGACACAGTCTTAGAGGAGGTTCAGGTTGTGTTCACTTCGAGCTACAATGAGTATGGTCCAGTTAATCTTTGCAGATCAATATATATAATCTACCAGAGGCTGTGGTTTTATTGCTGAGAGCTGTTTTATAGCACCTTCTGAAGAAAAGGGGAAGTTTTAGTTACTTAGGCTGTGTATGAAACTCTGTTCTAAGTCAGCAGCTTGCTTTGTTTGCACTTACTGTTGCTTTCCTTCCTCTCCTCCCCTTCTCTGGAAAAACCAGGATGACTGGCGAGTAATCTCCCCATTTTTGGTATTCCTCTTTAAATGGAATAATCTTCTTGAATTAATTGAAGAAGTTCATAGAGTTCTTGACAACAGTCATGTTTTTATAGGTGTCATGTTCTGTTTATCAAACTTTGAATTAAAAGTTCCTATTTGCTGTTACTTTGCAGTTAGCATAATGCTGGTATATTAAATCTAGCCCTTAGAGGAGGGAGGGTTGATCTGTGTAACACACATTAGCTTTTTAACAAAGGGATGTTTTGGGGTTAAACACATACCAGAAGTTTACAACTTTTAATGTGGAATCCACCAATAAGGAAGTATTTGTATCAAATAAGTAAATGATGGTAAATAAATACCTATTATGTTTTATTACTGTTAGGATCTTGAACAAGATCCAGCTCATTAAACCTTTGCTTTTTGGGTTGATTATCAGCAGCACATCACTTTGTATTCAGTAAAGAATGTAGGTTTGAAAATACTTGCACTTTCAGGAAGTTGATTTTTCTTTCTTTTGTTTCCTTTTCTTCTTCTTCCTCTTTAGACTTAAAATGGGCTTGCTTATGATTCTGGATGTAAATAGACTTAATAAATGTAAAAGAGATGAAGGCCCTAGTCCTCTTGCTTTAGTGATGGGGCAGGTACCAAGGGGATGGTGGGAAAAGGCTCTATATTGCAGGCAGGGAGAGAAGGGTAATGGGTAATTTAAAATGAAGACACCAGAAACAGACCTGTATTATAAGGTGATAATTCACCTCACGTTTTAAAAGTACCTTGGATAGTTGATTATTGTATCTATTTGTACTTAACAAAATAGAATATGGGACTTAAATTTTATTTTACCTCTTAAAAACTGATGGCATTCTTCAAATAGATGGTTTTGAAAGAGTGTGTTTGACTGTTACTGTATCCTGGTGTGTTGCTAATGTTTTTCTTCCTTTTCTGCTTTTGCATATTTGGACTGTCTTTCTGGGCACCTATTTCTGATGAATCTACCTCGATGCAGTTCACACGATTCCTCTGTGATTCTCCTCTGGAGGTATGTATCCATTTTAGATGCAGGTTTTGAAATGAATGTGTTCTTTCCTTTCCACTCCCTGGGGACAGCAAACCATTATGATGTAGGTGGTATAGATGGGTAGCACAATGCTTATATCATCACTAACTGGTGAGGAAGGTCGCATTGTGTTGTCAAAGGAGTCTCAGAACTCTTCTGCTGGATAATCAGCTGGATAATAAGCTACCACTGAATTTCACATCACTCCGTTAAGAGCTAGGAGCAGAAAGTGCTGTCTTTTCTGTTCTTGGTTTATTTCTATGAAAGAAAAAAATATATTACTAAATAACTTCCTAAACTTGAATTTGACTGCAGTCTGAGTTAAAAGTTTAGGGGAGATGCTGTTGCTTCATTTCAAACAAGCAAACTGCTATGGATTTCTAGCACTGTCTTTCTTGTTAGTCTTAAAGAGTTAAGCACTGTGTGACTGTAATGAAATTGTCAGGTTATAGTAATTACGCCAGTAATGTGATCTGTCGCAGCTTGACTGAATCCATGTGTGGAAAGTTTGTTGCTTTTCTCTGCCGAGTCCACTGGCCTTTACATTCCTGAAAGCTGAAGAGTAATAGAGCTCATTAGACTTTATAGGAAAAGGGCTTTTATCACCTCGTCAACTCAGGCAGCAGACTGCCATTATATTCTTCATTCCGTATGGCTACATAGATGTTGATGCTCGCTTCCCTGCCAGGTTTATACCAGTATTGTTACTTACAGACACTTTTTATTGACATTTCCAAGCTTGAATTCAATTTTGTGTGGCACCACTACACATGTCTTCAATTAGATGAAGTTAAATAAAAGGGGTTGTATATCAGAGGCCAGGGGATTCTTGGAATTCTTGATTCTGAAGCAGTTGCCACAAGCAAAGGTAGTAAGTGTGTAGTCTGTTTACTCTTTTGAAGAAAAATAAGGGAAGGTTTAGATTTTACTTTCAGTTCGTTCAATTTGTCATTGTTTGCGCTGTCAATGTTGTTATTAGCTGCAAATAACACAAACACCCAAACTCTTCCTGGCTTTTTTTACTTCCTCATTTTAATATTCTCTTCAGTTTATTTTGGCTATGGGCTCTGGCACAGAAAATGAGTAACTTAAAGATATGGTGTGTAGTAGCAGAAACGGAGGCAATTTTGTAGCAGTAAACAGGGTAATGTAGAGGGAACTGTTTGGGTAGGTTTTATTCATCCTTTCTTAGAGGCTACATTTAAACACTTGCCATTTCACCACTTCACATAGGCAAATACTACCTTGTTTGGAGGGGTAAAGCCACAATGTCTAAGAGATGAAGGAGTCTTAGCCAAAAACCAGTGTGGCCTCATTCCCTGTTGTTGCCAACGTGAGGGTGTTATGGCAGAAGGGCACAGGGAAAATACGGACTGCCTGGGGTGATTCCTAGTTTTTGCTGCTTGATTAAGAGAGTGTTTGGGCCCGTAGTTATATCTGCCATTGTCCTTCCCAGGTTGTTCCATGTCATTATGATGCAGCAGTTGGAATGAGTCTCAGTGCTCAGATTTGTCGTAACATTCCACAGTTGAATGATCGTTTTATTTTGTTTTAAAATCCTTCTGTAATTGCTGTTTTGTCTTTTTCCATCTTGACTGATGCTACACCCATTTATGAAATAGATGATTTCATAAAACTGCTCTCAAAAGTATCTTTTGGAGTGAATTGCTAATTTATACATGTTGCTTTGGATGTATGTCTGGCAGTGTTTCCCCCATGCATTTATATTCTGTGGGTTTATGAACATTTGATATTTCCTCTGCCTTTTTAATCATTCAGTATTACGGATTTTTCTTATAGTTGTTTACACTCGGCTCTTGTTCTTTCATCTTGAATACTTTTAAATCACCAGCTCAGTTTGCTGCAACATTGCTCAGTGATTCACCTACCAGTGTGGGGAAAATAATGGATTCAGCGCGATGGAAAGTGAGCTGCTTTCATAGCATCACAGACTGGTTTGGGTTGGAAGGGACCGTGAAGCTCACCCAGCTCCAACCCCTGCCACAGGCAGGGACACCTTCCACTAGAGCAGCTTGCTCCAAGCCCCTGTGTCCACCCTGGCCTTGAACACTGCCAGGGATGGGGCAGCCACAGCTTCTCTGAGCACCCTGTGCCAGCATCTCAGCACCCTCACAGGGAAGAGCTTCTGCCTAAGAGCTCATCTCAATCTCCCCTCTGTCAGGTTAAAGCTATTTCACCTTGTCCTGTCACTCCACGCGATTTCCATTATGTAAATGATTATTTGTTCTCACTTTATTGCCTATAATCCATGTTGAGATGCTTTTGAATTCGAAGGAACTGAGAGATGCTTGTGAAACTAGATCTTTGTCCTTTGAAAAGCACGTCAGCTTCTGCTCTGCATTATTTGCTGTATTGGTATGTGTTAATTATAAGGGGATCTAATAACAAATGTTACTGTTGCAAATCTTAATTCCCAGGGTCATCTTCTGTAGAATGTCATATTTTAGTCAGTTCAAGGCACTACTCAGGACTAAAATCAAAACTCATTTCATTTGGAGATCTTGGGAAACTGCTGTTTTCTTCATCCCACCATGATGTCTGTTGGGTGATACTCAAAAGTCTCTTGCCACTGAAGTGCCTTGTACCTTCACAGCTTCACTAATCTTTTTATCATTTTCAGCTTGCTATAACTGTCCTGATTAAATAGCTGACAGTATAGCTCACATACTCTACTTTTCCAGTAAGGTGCGTAAGTTAGCTCTGTAGACAGTGTCTTACATTTTGATGCAGTGAGTTGATTAACTTTGTTTTGATACAGAATTTTTCAGGTTGGAATGAACCTCTCTAGATCCAGTTAGTCCAACACGAGCAGGTTTAGCTAGAGCAGGTTGTTGAGGACCATGGGTTTTGAATATCATCAAGGATGGAGGCTCCACAGGCTCTCTGGCCAGCCTGTGCCATCGCTTGACCACCTTCTTGGATAAACCCTGTTTCCTTCTGTTCAGATTGAATGTGTTGTAATTTGCAAGCATTGCCTCTTGTCCTGTCAGTGGTAACTACTGAGAAGAATCTGGCTCCTTTATCTTCATTCCCTCCCATCAGGTATTTCCAGATGTTGATAAAACCTCCCCATGTCACCTGTCCTTGAGGCTGAGGAGTTGCAGCTTTCTTAAACTCATTGTATACAGCAGATGCTCGAGCCCCTTAATCATCTTTATTGCCCTTATGGACTTGCCATTGTAAGTCTGTATTTTAATTGCATGGGGAAGACGCATCAGTGCTGAGCAGAGAGGAGAGCTCACCTCACTTGATGAGCTAGTGCAGCCCAGAGTGCTTTTGGCTTCTTTTTCATCTGTGAGGGTGCAGTGCTGGCTTATTTTAATGAAAACATGCAGTGCTACCTCTGTGCTGACACAGTATTTGTAGGCTGCTTTCACAGCATCTCCACTAATCCCTAATGAAAGGAGGACATAGTACTGAAAAGGAAATATGTTGCTAACCAAGAGATAGAGATCAGCCATATGGCAGGTTGTGTGTGTGTACCTTTGGGAAAGGAACTGCTGGAATGAATCAGTTTACTTATTCAACAAATAATTTCCACTGGAGTGTAGAAGTCCAGGGTTTCCTGGCTTTTTTTCTTTTCTCTGTGTAAGGGATAGCATGGATTTCACGGCTTCCTCCTCCCTCTATCCACAGCAGAGGATAAAATGGAAAAGGTCAAGATAGGGAGTCTCATGAAACTTTAGAGAGAAAAATAATCATGCAGTTAGTATGGTCAAGACCCATTCTGGGTAAGGGTACAGTGCCTTCTGCAGTTCACACTGGTCTGGCATGTGCGCTAACAAGTGTAATTTCCATAATAATAATAATAATAATGAATTAATACAACATCCCTTAAAAGCAAAGACCAATGTGCTTTGGAGAAAATTGAGCACTGTCATCATCACTGAAATTTAATTATAAGCAGTTACTGCCTGGGGTGGGCTAATTGAGGCAGTATGTAGTACCAGTTGCTATTAAGTATTTAGGTTTTAATAATGCGTTGTAAAATATGAGCAATCAAATGTGTCCATGGAATCTTTAGCTGGCAAAATATGAAGATGGATAGGATTAAGATGGGATGGAATATATTGTCGTTTTCTCTGCATTATAGTCTAATCATTGGAGAGAAAATGACTTGTTTCAAGTTTTGTACTGGATTTAAGATGTGGTCTTGGGAAGAAGTTCTTTATAGTGAGGCTGGTGATGCACTGGCACAGGCTGTCCAGAGAAGCTGTGGCTGCCCCATCCCTGGCAGTGTTCAAGGCCAGGTTGGACACAGGGGCTTGGAGCAACCTGCTTTAGTGGAAAGGGGTTGGAACTGGATGAGCTTTAAGCTCCCTTCCGATGCAAGCCAGTCTAGGAATCTATAATTTAATTCTAAAGCTTACACTGTAATCAGATTATAATAATTCATTGTATTGAAGTTTGAGTAGAAATTGTTAATTTCAAGTAAATCGGTCCCTCTGGATTGATTCCAGGGCTAATATATAATTTTGGGTAGATAAGGTAAGCCATTATTGGTGGGGCTTGCTCACCTGATGTCCCTGGTGTATCTTATACCACCTTTTACGAATGTGGTCATATCAGTAGTGTGAAGTGGTATAACCATAACCTGCTTCGGGAAGATGTTTCTTATTCCAGACATGTTTCATGTCAAATTGTCTCTATGGTGCCTGAGAAATCAAGTTAAAAGAGCCAAGTATTCACTGAAAAATTGAGCAAGCAAAACACAAGCATTGCAAAGGGTAAAAACTTTTGAAGGAGGAAGAAAATGTTGCTGTTTTTGAAGTCTTGTTTCCTAATGTAGTGGAGAACCCTGAATGTTTAACCTGAAATCAGTGCTGTGCTTATGCTGTTTGTCACAGAACATAAGCCCTTTGTGTTCATGACCTTTCACTGTAATTGCATTAGGGAAATAACTGCAGTTTATGCTTTGCTAGAAGTTCTTGACTGATGCTAGCACTTCAGTTTGCAGAAGTGACCAAACCCATCCAATGCCATTTGGAGGTTTGGGGTTGCACACAGACACAGCATTTATTTAACTTCAGAAGACTTTGCTCTGAGTGAAAACCTTTTCCCATGTCGGCTTAGGCTGTCTTTTTTAACATTCATTAAACCCTGTGTGAAGAGTTCTTGACAAAGAAAGAAAACGTGGTTTAACTGAAACTTACTTAACCAAGTGTGTGTTATATTATCAATCACATTTCCCCTGGGCTTGCAGGAGATGATTCACTTTTTCTGTCACCCTAATGGCTGAGAGGAGAACTTGGAGACAATCTCTTACTTGACTGTGTCCCAGCTTTAAAGTTTTGCTTCTGACCACAGGATTTCATTTGGCTCTACTGAAAAGTTATGGATACTGTATGAAACCATAACTGTTGAATAAGTAGGCTTTGCCTGAATGAGAAGAAACCCAGTTGCATACACTGCAGACTGAGCTCTCAAACATTTGATTGTTTCATTTTTCCAGTATCGGTAGTTCCACATCTAGTTTTCTGCTCTGTAACTGTATAAAAATGCAAACCCTTTATTGTATGGTCTTTATTTTGGGACTTCTTTGTTGGGGAAGTCAGTTGAACTGATTTTTGTTCACGTGATTGATTCCTTTTGACACATGTGGTACCAATTAGAATAACTTCCACTGCCCATCATCTCTTCAGTCTGCGCTACTGTATCAAAATACTTGATTAAACCCACCTTCTGTTGTTGTAATGCAAAACAGTTGGTAATAGTAGGCAATATTGTCAGATTTATGGAGTGAGAAGCGGCTTTCTGAAGATCTGGCAATGCAGTGAAAAACATGACTAGATGGATAATTAAGTTGAACGCAGTGGAATTTGGGATTAAAGTAAACTTGACGTGGGAGAAAATGGCATGCCAAAGTTGGTTGTGTAATACAGTTTAAATTAGAAGATCGTTTTCTTCTTAATTTGAAGCATCAGGTTTTGGCTCTAGGTGCTTTACCCAGTCTGGAGACATACTTCAGTGCACATCCAAACCCACAGCGCACAACAATAGCGAGTTCCTTAGGGGGTTTGTAGAAGATGCTCTGATGTGGGCTGACAAAGAAGTTCCACAGATTTGCTTGCAACACAATTCCAGGTGCTTGGATAAAAGGTGTTTTGTTGGTCAGGAAGAGTACAGCTCAGAGTAAGCTGATCAGTTCTCTTTATAAATGCTTTTCTCAAGCAACTTTAGTGGCCTCTCTGACAAACTGATTTTTCCAGTACTTGAGGACATGGGGGAGAGAAACACTGAGGTCCTTGCTGTGACAAAGTGTCAGAGGAGCCAGGAAGCCAGAGCCTGCCTTGGGAACAGCCAGCGCAGTGAAATGTCTGTATTTCACCTTTCTGCCTTAGGGCTTTGTCTCTTGTAGGAGAGTAAGGAGGTCAAAGAGTATCTGCAGAATTTGTGTGTAATAACGTGTTAATAACTTGATGAATTGCATTGTTTTATCATGCCACTACTGTAAGTGGTGGATGGCAGGGGCTATTTGCAGATTCCTGGCTGGGAGGATTGCTGCCCAGAGAAGCTGTGGCTGTCCCATCCCTGGCAGTGTTCAAGGCCAGGTTGGACACAGGGTCTTGGAACAACCTGCTCTAGTGGAAGGTGTCCCTGGCCATGGCAAGAGGTTGGAACTGGATGAGCTTTAAGTTTCCTTCTGACACAAATGAGTCTGGGATTCCATGATATGTAGAGTTTGCCCATCATAAATACAGCAAAGGTCACAAATGTGAACTACTGTTGTTTTACCTGCTTCTCAAAGTCCTATTTTCCCTTTTTTAAACACAGACAGAAGGAGTAATTTCTTACAATATTTATTTCTGTGTTAACACTCTTTCTCAAATCAGTTTTTATACTGGGAGTCTGCCAGTCAGACAATCACATCCCTCTTCATTCTTTTTGCTCAGGCAGAGAATGCACCAAATGGACCAGAATGTGGCTATGGCTCTTTCCACCAGCAGTATTGGCTGGATGGGAAGATAATTGCTGTTGGTGTCATTGATATCCTGCCCTACTGCGTGTCCTCTGTCTACCTGTACTATGATCCAGACTACTCTTTCTTATCTTTGGGAGTCTACTCTGCATTACGGTAAGAGGACTTTTTTGTTATCTATAATAGTAAGAATTGATACTTGTTCCTCAACTTGAGCTTTTATTTCCAGTCTAAGCACTGGTAATGGTAAAGTATTTGTGGTTTATTTATATTTACTTATTTCTTATGAATTCTCTGTGGTTGGTTGTGTTCCAAATACGCTTGTAATTGCCATCCTTGGGCAGGGATGGATCTTTCTAGTTAGCTAAATACTTTTACAGACTAACAAAACACTCAGAAACAAAATACCCAGTTCTTACTGCCCTTGCAAATAATTTAGTATTGCTTGGTCTCAGCAGGAAAAGCCCCTGTTTTGTTTGAATAGAAATAATTTTTCCTTTGACCTTTTGCTTAGCCTAGTCACCAAATGAAATGAATCACTTTTATAGTTTTATGCACATAGTGATCATAAATAAGAGAGTACCTAAAACCTGTTGTCTTCTGAATTAGTAGTCTCCTGTTGTACTAGCAGTAGTACTTTCAGGTATGTTAATCTCATTATCTTTGTCTTCAGAAAGCCTGATGGGACAGAGTAATCTTATGAATGTTAAAGCCTTAAATTAACTATCAGTCTAGTCATGCAAAACAGTAGGGGTTGTGGGTAATGCTTTTCACTGTGAGTAAAACTTGTCTGCTAAACCTCAAGTTCCTATTCTTCTTCCATGAGCAATTTTACGATTTCATTGTTATTACAAAGGAAAAAAAATAACCCTAAAGAGTGGAAATATTTGTGCATCTCCAGTGGTCTGTGTGTAAAAGTCTGAATTATCACTTTCCTGAGGCATTCAGTGGCACTGGTGATTTTAGAAGATTAATCAAAATTAACAAATATACATAAAATGTTGGAACTCCTCTGAGTTAGAATTGGGTTTTTCTGTCAATGGTCTAGATTTTTAGAAGTGTTTTAGTAGATCTGTTAGGATTTTTTATTTACATAAGCTAGCTATTACTGCCTGTAAGAAAGCTGGAGAGGGGCTTTGGACAAGGGCCTGTAGGGACAGGCCAAGGGGAATGGCTTTAACCTGCCAGAGGGGAGACTGAGCTGAGCTCTTAGGAAGAAGCTCTTCCCTGTGAGGGTGCTGAGGCGCTGGCACAGGGTGCCCAGAGAAGCTGTGGCTGCCCCATCCCTGGCAGTGTTCAAGGGCAGGTTGGACACAGGGGCTTGGAGCAAGCTGCTCTAGTGGAAGGTGTCCCTGCCCGTGGCAGGGGTTGGAGCTGGGTGAGCTTTGAGGTCCCTTCCAACACAAACCAGTCTGGGATGCTGTGATATTTGAAATTACACTGATTATTAATTTTTCCATGCAAGAAGAGCATATAACATAAAAAGTCAAGTCCTTGTAAGAGAGTTAGCTTTTAGTATTTGTACATATCATATTACTTTATGTAATAATAGACTGACATAATCCCTGCTTATGAATTCTTGAAATGATTTTGAATTTTCTACATAATAAATTGAGAACTTTGTGGGCGCAACATGCGTGAATGGCTCAACTAGAGAAAAAGCAGCTTATAAATTCTGCAGCATTTAAGGCAATAAAAATGAGTTCCCAGCAGTCTTAGGGGGAGCCAGTCTTGTTCCCCTTTCAAAAAGGGGAAAAAAGCCTGGAGAGTTAGGGAGGATTTAGGAAGTTGCAGAGGAATCTGATACCTTCAAAGCTGTTGCCAATTTTACTCTGAGGAGGTTAAACTGCATTGCAGCGCTGTCACTTCCACTTCATGCTACTCTGAGAGTTTTTGCTGCTGAGTCGTAGAAAGGATGGGATTTGTGGATCATTTTGAACTATGTAGGCATGTAAGTAAAGAATGAGGGGCGAAGAAGCTACTTGTGAAGTAGCAGACTTACCAAAGGAAAAACAGTCTTCAAGAAATATTGAGTGATTCTTATTCTTCTTTGCATGAAGAAGTTAAACCTTCCCCTTGCTACCTGAAATCATGAGTCGTAGACAAGCGTAATACTCATCACCTCTAGTTAGCAGGAGGACAAATACTTGAACTACTTTTGCAGTTGGGTTATGTAGCACTGAAATACTGTCTGAATTTTGTATTGATGAAATGAATACAACTTCCTCCCTAGCTGATAACTCTTGCCAAGCGCTAACAGCCATCATAATTCTTTAGATGTGTACCATAACCTAAAGCTTTAGAAAAAGAGTAATTGAAAGTCTGTAGTCTCCTTTCCATAGGAAAGATTTAGGCAGAAAGAACACAAGTAGACGTGTGTTACACCATACAGTGACACCTCATCACTGCTCCTGGTGAAAAATAGAATCATAGAATCCTAGAATGGTTTTAGTGGGAAGGAGCTTAAAGCTCATCTGGTTCCAACCCCCTACCATGGGCAGGGACACCTTCCACTAGAGCAGGTTGCTCCAAGCCCCTGTGTCCAACCTGGCCTTGAACACTGCCAGGGATGGGGCATTCACAACTTCCCTGGGCAGCCCTTCCAGTGCCTCAACCACCCTTACAGTAAAGAACTTCTTCCTTACATCTAACCTGAACTTCCCATGTTTCAGTTTAAGTCCATTGCCCCCTGTCCTATTGCTACAGTCCCTGATGAAGAGTCCCTCTCTGGCATCCTTATATATATGGATGTAAAATGGAGTTAGAGGATGCTCTTGCATTGGATCATAGCATATGCTTCTGAAAAGCAGAAACAGAAGAATGTTTTAGCACTCTCCTATTCACCTTTGCCTGGAGTGGGGTTGGCTGAATAGATAAATGAAAGATAGTGCAAGAACTTGGGTTAAGAGTCCTTACCTAGAGAATATCACTGAGGGCTGTAGCCCATGCAAAGACATTGGCAGTAGTTCTAAGCTTTGGTATCGTGCACTAATTCGCTGGCCTAAAGCTTTGTTGCCTATGGTGAGACTTGTTGCTGCAGCCCAATTTTTGCCTCGTTACATTATGGTTTGCTTTCTCTTCTGTTCAATTTGAGTCTTTTCGTTTTATTAGATCAGATACTTTATAGTCCAATGGGAAAGAGTGTTAGGAGGCTTTTGAAGTGCAAAGATAATTTTCCCTTTTAGTGTTCCAGCTTTTTGAATTGCAGAAAGGTATTTAATTAGGTCCAGGATAATCTGCATGAGGCAGTAAGCTTGTTTAACTTCATGCCATGTCTTAAAGATTATCTGGATGAAGTGCATGTTTGCACATTTTGGTAGTACATAAATCCAGTTTCTGGAACCTGTTCTTTTTACCTGGATTTGCAGATACGGAGTAACTTATTTCCAGACATTCTCCACTTCTTGAAGAAATTTATATAGATACAGAGTTAGAATGAACTCATGATGGTCTCAGCAAACTAAATGCAACTGAAATGTTAGGTTTTCAGTACCTTTAATCATCCTACTAACTAAATATTAAGGGATAAACCCCTGAAGTATTAGTGTATGCTCCGTATATGCACATGCTCATACTTTCTTATCCCTTCGACATTGAAAGTAAGCACCAACATTTATGTTTTAGCAAATCTGTTACAAAAGTGAACTGCAAAGTTGCAGATGCTGTAGAAATTATCATTATACTGGGAGCACTGGCTGAATCTTTGTGATAATGCTGCTTTCCTTGTGCCAGTAAAATCGAAGCAAACTTATTTTGGAATAAATTGACACTTCTGTTTCAGAATAAATGGGAAAATCACACAATCAGACATGGGGTGGGTAAAAAATACCTTTTGTTGCATAAAGATGGATGTTTTTACATGTAAATTGCTAGGATGCAAGTAGTTGAACAAACAAGAAGCTGATCCTTGAAACTTGTTTTTTAAATATACACTGGTGTTTGCCTGAGCTATGTTAGCCAGTCTGTGTGCAACTGCTGGGCCAGTTCCTGTAGGATTCCAGTGCATATGAACATTAACAAGAAACCTGTTAAATGGAGGCTCTTACTGGCTTAAAAGTCAAATAAGAGTGACTAAATTGACAGGACAAAACACAAAACTGAAAGTATTTTTAAGCCTGACATAGTCTTTTGCATTTTAGTGATGTGTTCAGTTGTGTTTTATGCATCAATTTTCAATGTATTAACTTCTTCAGCATTGGGTCTGAGTTGCTCCTCTTCACTCTTTCTTTCATAGAAATCTAGTCCTTTAAATAGGTCATGAGCCAGGCTGCTGTGAAGTATTTCAATATGAAGAGGTAAAAGGAGTGTAAGGATTGTATTCAAAAGTAATTAGTCTTTTTTTTCCTTTCACAGAGAAATCGCTTTTACAAGGCAACTCCATGAGAAAGCTCCTGATCTCTGCTTTTATTATATGGGTTTCTACATACATTCATGCCCCAAAATGAGATACAAGGTAACGTGTGATCTTAACTTCTTTCCTTAGTGTACTGTTAGTCAGAGCTTTTGACAGTGTTCATAGTAAGTATAATGTTTTCTAATTGTCAGTTTGGATTTTAATGTCAACTTTCTATGGTTAAATTTGAGCATTGGTCACTATTTAACTTGGCTTCCATTTTTTTTTCTCTTTGTCAAAATTTAGCTGCATGTGGTATTTATTACATGTTGGCTTAAAAGCAGTTCACATGGAGAGGTTTTCAAGGCTGTCAGATGATAGTTTGTCATTTGATTACCTGGCTGTCTCATGTTTACAGTATATTCTCTAGTTTTAGGTTTACATACCTGTGGCAGTGCTGCTTGGTGCCTATGGGGAGTGATAACGTTTTCCTGGTCTTGGCTGTACTTGGGCTTTCCCTGTTTGTTTTTTTATTGGAGAAAGGGGACTTGCTCTGCTGATGAAGCCAGTGACAAGCTGGGCTAGCAGCAGTTCTGAGCCAGGAAAGCAGATTTTGGGGGGAAAGGGTCGGGAGAATCTGCAGGACATTTAGAATAACCGATCTATCACCAAACCTCCTTTGTAGGTCCTGTGAGCTTCAGCTTTGTTTAGACCTGAAACACCTAAAGGTGTCTCTTTCCTCTGTTTTTTTTGTGACCATTATGAATGTATCTTTTCTTTGTAAATATATCGTTGCTTTGTGACTATTATGATACAATTTTTAAAAGGGCACTTAGTGACAGGACAAGGAGGAGTGTGTTTATACTGAAAGAGGTTAGATTGAGATGAGCTCTTAAGGAGAAGCTCTTCCCTGTGAGGGTGCTGAGGCGCTGGCACAGAGTGCCCAGAGAAGCTGTGGCTGCCCCATCCCTGGCAGTGTTCAAGGCCAGGTCGGACACAGGGGCTTGGAGCAAGCTGCTCTAGTGGAAGGTGTCCCTGCCTGTGGCAGGGGTTGGAGCTGGGTGAGCTTTAAGGTCTTTTCCAACCCAAATGAGGCTGGGATTCTATTTTTCAGAGTACTGACCATTGATAAATATTTGAACACTTGCACATAACCAAAATTCCTGTTAATAATATGGAAAGATGCATGAAACGTAGAGTAAGAGGTGCAGTGTTTTCATTTCCTTTTTCCCCCCTCATTAGGCTAAAAGTCTGCAGTGCTTTCAGCTAGTTTTCAAATAGCCCCAAAATTGTGAGGTTCATTGAAGTGATGATTGTGACACAGCATTCCAGCTTTATTGTGGCCTGCAGTACAGGTAACCATGATGGTTGAGTCTTCAGAAAATAACAACCCCCTACCTCTCCTTTTACTAGATGTTTGTCTGTCCTTCCCCCCCACACCCCTCTTTGCCAGCTTGAGTTTATCATCTCAATCTGCTGGCCAAAGAAAGAGGATATTAAGTTTTAAGAGAAGGATAGTGGGTGAGTTGGAAAACACTGCCCCTTTCATCTAAATCATCTTAAAGGCTATCATATCACCAACTTGAACCAGCTCTGATTATTTGTTCTACTCTTTGGAAATACTTAAAAGTTTGGGATTCTTTGTTCCTGTGGAGACACTGCAATTTAACATCCCTTGTCTGTTCTACAGCCTACGTAGTTCAAGACTTGTGAAAAGTATGCATTTAGTTTACTAGGGCACAAGCAAATCTGAGAGACAAATCTGACTATAATGGGAAAAAGCATCCCAGTTCTGAAAGCTGTCATTGCTAAGAAGCTTGGGTTTGAGTCTTTTGTAGGAAGTTTTAATGAAAATGTGAACTTCGGAGACATGGATTAAACATAGCACGTGTAGGAGGCAGTGTATTAAAGTAGCCAGCAAAAATATGAAGATTAAATGCTGTAAAACTGGGAGCTGACCTCAGCAGCCACTATGTCTTTGTGCTATATCCCAAGCATAAGAGGGACGTGGAGCAGTTGGAGTGAGTCCAGAGGAGGCCACAAAGATGCTGCGAGGGCTGGAGCAGCTCTGCTCTGGAGCCAGCCTGAGGGAGCTGGGCTGGGGCAGCCTGGAGAAGAGAAGGCTCCTGAAGGGGAGACCTGAGAGCAGCTCCAGTGCCTGAAGGGGCTGCAGGAAACCTGGAGAGGGGCTTGGGACAAGGGCCTGTAGGGACAGGCCAAGGGGAATGGCTTTAACCTGCCAGAGGGGAGACTGAGCTGAGCTCTTAGGCAGAAGCTCTTCCCTGGGAGGGTGCTGAGGCGCTGGCACAGGGTGCCCAGAGAAGCTGTGGCTGCCCCATCCCTGGCAGTGTTCAAGGGCAGGTTGGACACAGGGGCTTGGAGCAAGCTGCTCTAGTGGGAGGTGTCCCTGCTTGTGGCAGGGGCTTGAACTGGATGAGCTTTAAGCTACCTTCCAATACAAACCAGTCTGGGGTTCTGTGATTATATATTATAATGTGGTGTCTCTTCTGTTGAGCTTGTTCTGTTGAAAATAATTGCATCAACAATGAGATTCTAGTTTTTATTCTCAAATAATGGAAATTGAATAAATTGTAATGGGAATATTGTGACATGTTTTTTCTATTATTATTATTTTCTCTACAAATGATGAGAATTTCCGGGGCAGGGGATGGGTAGAAGAAAACCTATACATATGTATTTAGAACACGCACAATAGAAAGTAATTCTCCATGCTGGGAAAGGAATAATTTAATAAATGAATTTCAAGGGTTTCCATGTTATTTTAGATTTCTTTTCCTGTGTATATTTGTTTTGCAAGTAATACACTTGAAAATCAGGTTGACACAAGTTCTGTAGGGTCACTTTACCCTCGCTGAAATAGTACACAGAAGCAAATTTTAAAGCTAAGCTCTGAAACGTGTCTGGGTAATGCTACAACTCCTGTGAACTGATTGGCAACGGGAAAGAAGGATGGGGAAGTACTGATGTTGTGAATTAAGTAATTTCAGTAGTTCCTGGTTGGCTTATGTGCATTATGTTCTGAAGACTTTGCTTTATTACAGTTTAATAGACATGTTGAAGGCTCCCTTTCCTTAATGATATTAGTGGGGAAGAAAGGCTGTTGTTAAACTGATGTCAGGTAAGAAAAATAAATGCAGGAAAGAAAAGGAAGCAATTGGAGAGCTAAACACTGGTTTTACCCTTTGCTGGTAATTTTCTTTGCAAATTATTTGGCCTAGGATATTTAGAAATTGAGGCTATCATAATATCACTTAATATCACATACTGTCACTTCTTTACATAAGCAGTGTCTGATGGAGAGCACCGTAAGCAGTGTCTTGTTGAAGCACACATGCACGTTATCCTCATTTACAGTAAACTCACAGGATTTTGGAGATCTTTGAAAGTTTTCCTTCTTCTAGTCACAGATGGTGATCAGTGGAAATGCCTAAGCTGACATTTGCATTTGGTTTCTGATGGAAAAGCAGTACTGAACTGCTTCTAGCAAAGATTCCTGAGCTTGACTACTGGTTTGTACCAAACAGCTGTATATCTTCAAGCTGATCAAACAGGGGTAGGGGATGAATAAGGAGCAGTGACTTTATGGTGTTGATTTAAGCAGTTTGACAGTGTTCCACTTTGCATGGAGTCAAATTCAGTATTCTGTGCAAAATGTAGTTGGAATAATTGAGGAACTTTGCAATGAACTGTTGTACTCCCATTACAGTCCAAGACTGATGCATTAATGTTGCGCACATGAGGACATAGCTGGATGTTTTGCTTTTAAGTACCTATGGTTCCTAGATGGGAGATATAGACATCCAAGCATTAAAGCCTTTTTCTGCATGGGTACTTTCTTGGAATGCAAATTATAGACATCTCTTCTGGATTCTAACTTGTTTTGGGATGTGATCATATATACCAGTGACTGGGTCATATGCAGGAGCAGCTCAGATCACCTTGGTTGTGTTGGATGTTCTAAGGAGCTCCAAGGCATTGATAGAGTATTTTGTTGAAGTATTTGTTTTTAAATAGGGCTGCTGACATGCTTGTTCTGTTTTTAATGCAGTTCTTAAAACATTGCCAGTATCTTTGTCCTAGAACGTTTCTCTGAACAGTCACCTTTGACATGGCCAGACCATCCCACCAGTTGCCCATAGTGCAACAGCTCCATGCAGCTGCTGAGTACTTTTAGCCACCACTGAGCAGGTCAGGGAATGAACTGACAGTGAGTAATACACTATTAGGGGTCAGTGTGTGACGTTTTCATCTGCAGGTTTTTATTGCCGCAGAAAGTACAATTTTGGGCATTTATAGCTCAGTGGAAGATTGGAGGCCTGGAAGAGGATCCTCAAATCAGGATTCCTGTGGCTCAGTGGCAGAGTTTGAGGATTCTGAATTATGAGGCAGGAAGATGAATGGTTAAAAAGTTTAGCATCATAGAATCAACCAGGTTGGAAAAGACCAGTAGATCATCAAGTCCGACCATTACCCCAGGCCTGCCAAGACCACCACTAAACCATGTCCCTAGGGGCCTCATCTATATGGTTTGTGAACACTTGACAGTGATTCTACCCCATGGAAGTGGATGATGCTTCTTAAAAAGGTTGTTTTTAAAAATAAAGTTCTTTTTTTTTCCTGACTCACTATTCCCTTCCCTTTGTTCCCAAACAGCTTGCATTTGATTTCAATGTGATTTTAAAACGGTGATGGGGGAAGGGAATATATTGCAATATTAGGCTACTTTTTAGGTCCCAGCTTCTCCTAGATTTGTTCCCATTTATGGGTTAAAATTTATGAACTGGTGAAATAAAATCTACATTAAATTGAGACAAAAGGATTTCTGTGTCCTATTAACTATGTTAATATGGAAAAATGCTATGAAAAAACCTTAAGCAATGGCTTTGTTCCATTTTTTCCGGGTAGGTCAGGGTAATACAAGAATCAAATGGTTCTCTGAAGAAATTCATGACCTTGTGGTAAAACTTCTCAGGCTCTGTTAGATGTGGTAGTTCTTATGTTGGAAAACAGTCTCCTGGAACATTTTCCTAGACTCATAAGATGCAAAGTCTTTTTCCTAATGCATTTTGGAGTGTGTGATAAAATCTTAAGTATAAGAA